TGTTTAATGGAATGGCTGAGATTTCTATGACCATTGCTAAGCTTCCTGTATTCTACAAGCAACGGGACCTTCTATTTTATCCCTCATGGGCATATGCTATTCCTTCATGGATTCTCAAGATTCCCGTCACATTAGTGGAAGTTGCTGTTTGGGTATTTCTAACCTACTATTGTATAGGATTTGATCCAAATGTTGGAAGGTAAAGAAGCTACTTTTATCTGTTAGTGGCATGATGTGAATGCCAGTTCTTGCTTTTTACTTAATACTTATGAAGTGAGGTCTTGAATTTCTTGCAGGTTCTTCAAGCAGTACCTTGTGCTATTATTTATCAGTCAGATGGCTTCTGGATTATTCCGAGCCATTGCAGCACTTGGTAGAAACATGATTGTCGCTAACACATTTGGGTCCTTTGCTGTTCTCACTTTTCTTTTAAGTTCAATTAACATCACAACACAACAGCAATAAAATAATAATAATAATATATTTTGCAATTATCACATACTGAATCCTTAGCTAATGATGGTTCTTGCATTTCATTGCCAATGAAACAGAGGATATCAAAAGCTGGTGGATTTGGGGTTACTGGATTTCACCTTTAATGTATGGGCAACATGCTTTAATGGTCAATGAATATCTCGGGTACAATTGGCACAACGTAATTTCTTGAACTTGCAACTCTATAATTTATCTAATCTACTTTTGGTTAAGAGTAAGAAACATTTAGTTAGGCCTAATTTATTTATTTGCTCTCCAATTACAGTCTACCTACGATTTAGGAGCTGTATTTCTGGATACCCGTGGATTCTTCACAGATGCATATTGGTATTGGTTAGGCCTTGGGGCATCGGTTGGATTTGTGTTCCTTTTCAACGCTTTGTTTGGTCTGGCTCTTGAGGTCCTCGGCCGTGAGTATTTTTCACATCATTTGAGATTAATTGTGCTTGTAAAATTCTTATAGTGATAATGATACAAGATTTTATTGATAAATATGCATTTGAATGTGCAGCATTTGAAAAGCCACAAGCAAATATAACTGAAGAATCAGATGACAGAACCGTAGAAGAAGTTGAATTACCACGCATACGTGAGCTATCTTGCTTATATCATTCTTTAACACTCATTGGCAAAAGTTGATTAGTAATTCATAATATTCCTTCAGACAACGCTAAACATTATTTTCAATTGTGATGCAGAAAGTTCAGGAAGAGGTGATTCTGTTGTTGAGTCAAGCAACGGAAAGAAAAAAGGAATGGTTCTTCCTTTTGAACCACATTCTATCACATTTGACGATATCATATACTCTGTTGACATGCCACAGGTATGTTATAAATTTAGCATTTGCATTTCTAGCAGTGTTTCTATTTTAGCTCTGCTTGAATAAAAAACAATTTGATGAGATCAACCTCACTCATTTGATTTCAACTGTGGCAGGAAATGAAAGAACAAGGTGTACAAGAGGACAAATTAGTGCTTTTGAAGGGTGTCAGTGGTGCATTCAGGCCAGGTGTTCTCACAGCTTTGATGGGTGTGAGTGGAGCTGGCAAGACTACTCTGATGGATGTTCTGGCTGGTAGGAAAACCGGTGGATATATTGAAGGAACCATAAAAGTTTCTGGGTACCCTAAGAAGCAAGAAACATTTGCTCGAATCTCTGGTTACTGTGAGCAGAATGATATCCACTCACCTCATGTTACAGTTTACGAGTCCTTGCTCTACTCAGCATGGCTTCGTTTACCTTCAGGAGTTGATTCCAGTACCAGAAAGGTTAGTTAGTGGTTAGTACTTGTAGCATGCATAATGAAAAATTTTAAGCTATTTATTTAATTGAGATTGCTGGCTTTCTCAACTTAGAGGCTGATTGTTCAAACTTGACAAATGGTTGTAGATGTTCATTGAGGAAGTGATGGAACTGGTGGAGCTTACAACATTGAGGAACTCGTTGGTTGGTTTGCCAGGTGTGAGTGGTCTCTCTACTGAACAGCGCAAGAGGCTCACTATTGCAGTTGAATTAGTGGCTAATCCTTCCATAATCTTCATGGATGAGCCTACTTCTGGGTTAGATGCGAGAGCTGCTGCCATTGTTATGAGAACTGTGAGGAACACTGTGGACACAGGAAGAACTGTTGTTTGCACCATCCATCAGCCTAGCATTGATATATTTGAAGCTTTTGATGAGGTTAGTGAGCGAGTGGTGATAATGATAAATGAATTTGTGTTTTACTTTTATATTTTCCTTCTTTCTCCATTAATTAGATTTGAATCTGACATATAATATTATTATATGGGATTCTAGTTATTCTTGATGAAGCGTGGAGGACAAGAAATATATGTTGGGCCACTTGGTCGTCATTCTACCCATTTGATCAAGTATTTCGAGGTAGGATCCTACTTACATTCAATATTAACCTAAGTGAACGACTATAATATTTTGTTGTATTTACTTAAGTCTTCCTATAATTTCCATTGTCCAGAGCATTGAGGGTGTGAGTAAAATCAAAGACGGATATAACCCAGCAACATGGATGTTGGAAGTTACATCTACTGCACAAGAACTCAATTTAGGTGTTGATTTTACTGACCTATACAAGAATTCTGATCTATATAGGTAAGCTAATGCATATATATATTAGCTATTGTCATGTATAAATGTTTCCTTGATTTACAAAATGCTTAAATTGTTTTTCCATTTCATGGCTCTTCAGGAGAAACAAGCAGCTTATACAAGAACTGGGCCAACCTGCTCCTGGTTCAAAGGATCTTCATTTCCCTACTCAATTCTCACAGTCATTCTGGGTCCAATGCCAGGCTTGCTTGTGGAAACAGCGTTATTCATACTGGCGCAATCCACCATACACTGCTGTGAGATATTTCTTCACTACTTTCATAGCCTTGATGTTTGGAACAATGTTCTGGGACCTCGGAGGCAAACAGTGAGTCACAAAATATTCATATTAGATTATGTAATCTTCCTATTTGATTTCCACTCTGAATATATAATGATACCATGTGGTTTGGTGACTTACATTACGACAGCTCAAATAGACAAGACCTGTTGAATGCGGTGGGTTCAATGTCGACCGCTGCTCTCTTCCTTGGGGTACAGAATTCTTCATCAGTACAGCCAGTGGTAGCAGTTGAAAGAACTGTGTTTTATAGAGAAAAAGCTGCTGGAATGTATTCTGCCTTACCCTATGCATTTTCACAGGTAACTTAAAATCATTATCATTATTAGTTTTACTAACATTTTCATTATTAGTACTTCAGCTTGTATTGTTAACACAACTCATTCCTTTGTGTCACAGATTCTAGTAGAGTTGCCTTATATTTTTGCTCAAGCAGTGACATATGGACTCATAGTTTATGCTATGATGGGATTTGACTGGACTGCAGAGAAATTCTTTTGGTTTCTATATTTCATGTTCTTCACATTGTGCTACTTCACGTTCTACGGCATGATGTCCGTGGCAGTGACACCAAATCACCATGTTGCTTCCATTGTGGCTGCTGCATTTTATGCAATTTGGAATCTCTTCTCAGGATTTATCGTCGCAAGACCAGTAAGTGTTGCCAAACTATATATGAATTAATAATGCATGATTAATAGATGGAGATGGAACATGTTTATGTAATATAATAATGTAATGTATATTTATTTATGCTGACTCACTAAACAATTTCTTGTTACATTAACAGAGCATCCCAGTGTGGTGGAGATGGTACTATTGGGCATGTCCGGTGGCATGGACAATATATGGATTGATTGCATCTCAGTTTGGAGATATAACTACAGGAATGGAATCTGAAAATGGAAAGTCTGTGAAAGCTTTCCTTGAAGAATTTTATGGTTTCAAACATGACTTCATTGGAGTTTGTGCAGTTGTCGTTCCTGGCATCGCCCTTCTCTTTGCTTTTACTTTTGCTGTTGCAATCAAGGCTTTCAACTTCCAAAAGAGATAGATATTGGAGACTTTCCCAAACGTGAAGGATTCTTTATATTTTTTTTATTTTGTTTTTCTATTTTCTATTTAGTATTTACTCTTAGCATTCTTGTATCTACCATTCATGCAGCACTAGCTTGAGAAACTTGTTTCCTCTCTCTACTGCCAATTTGAAGCTTCTTTATATAATAAATGTACAAGCATATGATTTTGATAATACTTTTGTATTGTTAGTTTTATTATCAATGGAAAAATATTTATTTTGAGGCCAGCCTATAAAAATCACTTGTGAGTTCTGAATTCTCTATTCCTTATCTCTTGATAATAGATATTCATTTTACATAATGTTCAATTGGCATGCAAGAAGCTTTGCTTGACATGTTCATCTTCCATGCGAACTAGACTTAATTTTTCCACTCAAGGCTGGAACTTAGCTACAACATTTGCAATATATTGTATAGTGAGTGTTCTTCATCAATCAAGAAAATTGTGACCAATCGTTTCTGTTATGTCCTGGTGACTATTGGCTGATCAGTAGTACTTGAAACTTTTTGTATTTGTAGTAACAGGCAAAGTAATAATAAAAAATGATTAACACGCATTCGAATTTTATTAACAAGCAATTTAGTACATATTCAGTTTTTCTTTTTTTTTTGAGAATTTTTTTTTTTAACTCTTTCAGTAAAAAAAATTTGTATGATAAATTGAAAGGAAAATATGTCTAATCAAAACTTAATTTAAAAAAAGAAAAACTCTCTTAATGAGATTTTAATTATAAATTGTTCAAACACAAAAATAAGCTAACGTAATCATACATAGACTATTATTTTTTTAAATTATTTGAAAAAATACATTCTGGAATTAAAAATAATTTGAATTGAAATATATACCTATTTTGAAAAATAATTAACATATAATTTGCATATTTTTAGAGATAAAATTGGATAAATTAAAACTATATATAGTTGATGAAACAAATAATAACTCAAGAAATAATTGCAAGACCTCTTGACAATACATTAGATAAAGCTGCGTTGAAAATAGTGACTAAGACATAAAAAAAAGTGTCTACAACTCTAGGTTATATATTTTCGTGGATAACTCTCCATTTATAAGACTTAAAGTATGCAGTTCCTGAGGTTATACCAAAAAAAAAAAAAAAAAGGTATGCAGTTCCTGCACTTAGTAACCCCGCAATTTTAGTGTTTAGGCGTTTATGTTGAAGATAATCCTGCAAATGTATAGAATTTAAGAAATTTTAGATGTAAGAGTACACAGAATGTAGAGAAATTATTTTTGCAACACAGTAACCCATCTTACATCAAATAATTTCTCTTGCTTTTATGTCCTTAAAAAAGGGGGACCAAGGCCCATCATATCATGCCAATTAATTTACTTTCATGTTTTTTTCGAGAAAATCTATGGATCCAATAAAATCAAACCGTTGATATGGGTTGAATTAAATTTGGTTTGGTTATTCTGTTTGGCCCAACTTTTGATACGTCAAAAGTATAAGGCATAAGCCTCATGAAAAGTTGTACCAGAAAAAAAAAAAACTAACAAAATTACTAAAAAGCAGAATAAACGCCGTTGCCGGGGATCGAACCCGGGTCACCCGCGTGACAGGCGGGAATACTTACCACTATACTACAACGACTTGTTGTTCTCTGTTAATGTCAAATTTATTTTCATCTTTTAAACAGGTATATTCCTCCCGTTGATAATGCCACTGATATTCTGAAAGTGATTTACCATGGTCCATATATGTTCCAATATTATGTGTTTGGAGTTTTTTATTTTATTTTTTTTCTTCAAATGATACCCTTGATAAACTCATTCCAATCACTTGTTTCATGTTGTATTTCCTGATTCAGATGCATAGCAAAATATGGGGTTCCAATCTTCTTGCATGGTCGGTTTCAAAATTGGCAAAATTTCAGTACTTTGTCTACCATTCTCCCATGTTTTTCGTTGAGGAAATTACTTGCTTTGTGCTTTAGACCATATCAGCCATTTTTGTCTGCTTAATTCTTGTAAGTTTATTGACGATCTTAGGCCACTTATAGGATCTTCTCAGCTTTTGCTTTGCATAACATCAAATTTGCTTGTCTTAGTTAAATCATATATATATGGCACCCCATTTATGGTATAGGAATAGCTAGACCATGTTGCCCTGTCTTTTGGTCTCTTATTCTTATCCATCCAAGCAAGAAAATGCACTCTTTCATAGCTTTAAATGCACCATTAATTGTGTTTGATTTATGAATATTCACAAACCAAGACACCATAGCCATAGGGGAATAAGTGGAATACTGTTTAACCTAAATGATAAAGCAATGATTTTGTTTGTGATTCCTAAAAAGAAAAACTACGAAAAAAAAATTAATGAGTAATGACGAGATAGGACTCAGATGGTGTGGCATATAGAAAGTTAAAAGCAAACCCAAAGAACACGAAACTCATTGACCGAATCCATGGGCCATATTGATCATTTAACTACGGTTAGCCCACAGAGAGCAGCAAGCCCCTTCAGTTGAGACTTGAGACGGGTTGTGTTTTATCTTTTTCCCACAGGTCCACATCAACGACATGTTCTTAATTCAAACGAGATGGAAACCAGCATCGTGCACCTTACTTACCCCCACTAATGTTCAACAAAGGATGGGAAAATATCCGTATTTGTACAATATAATAACCCTTGGCCCTTGACCCTTGTTCATTATAATTTGATTTCTTTTCTGGAGTGTACCTTTAACATAAAAGGGTCTTTTTGGTAGCTTTTTTTGAGAGGTGACCCCAATTTGTTGTTCAAATGACATTAATTTGTTAGAAATCATTTCCTACTTTCTGATTTCAAATTTCGACATGATCTAGTCCACAACAATTGGAATTAACCTTCATCTTTATTTTTGTTTCTTTTGAACCCCATGACCATCCTCCTCTTTTATTCCCTTCTGTGGGTAAACAATAAACATCTCAATTTTCAAGGGCACTTTGGTCCTAAAAAAATTGTACACAAAAGAGAGTATAACTAGAGGTGTTAACGGGTCAAGTCGGACCGAATAAGTTTAGTATGTGTTTAAGTATGTCAGCCTGACCTAACCTAATATTTGTTATGAATATAATTATCAGTACGTGACCTGATTTATTTACAAAAAATAAAAGCATGATTCAGCCTGTTAAAAAAAATAAGACAACAAAAATTTATACAAATAAAATATACGATCAACAGCACTAATAATTCTACAAAGAATCATAAATTTAGTGTATATCCAAATAACATACTATAGAACAAAATCATTCAAAAAGTCTGTTTAACCAATCACTGACAGACCTAGAAAATTTTATTTATGTCTGTACATTTACGGTTGGGATTTGAGGGCTACGCCTCCAAAAAAAAATTTAAATTTTTTTAAATTTATTAAAAACAAAAGAATATAAATAAGTGGTCCCTTTAAAATTTTTGGATACTAACAAATATTAAATGACCCAATTTAATCCTTTAGGGGAAAAAATTGGACTCGAGATCCCTTTAAAATTCAAAATAGACCCGTCTTAGTCATTTTGAGGGACTAACGTGAAACTTCTTTGAATTTCAGAAGTATAAATAGTATAAAAAATAGTATAAGTGGGACCCGCCCCTGTAACCAATAAAATGATGTGAAATGAGTTGGGAAGAGAGAAGGCTATTATATATAGTATAAAAAATATAAATTAATATATTAGGTTGAAAGGGTCTCAGACCAAACTTTTAAATTGGAAGCTAAAAGTTATTTTATTAAACGAGCTTATGTTCAAATCTGATTTGAAGAATCAATTTTAGACATATCAACCGAGACTTCTACTAGCCGTGCAAAGACCCTGTTCGTTTAATAAGTATGATATTCCCTCCCATGTAACCGTTACTCCAGCCATAAATGATTGAATTCTTTCGTGTACCCTCAAATTTTGAATTTTTTTTTTTTTTTTTTTGGAACATTTAAAAGGTAAAACCAATTCGACCGTTGGCTCCTACATCAACAAAACACGCTCCGACTTAGTTGTGCATCAGCTTCCACTACAAAGAACAAACGCTTCAAACTCAACGATAATGGCTGAAGATTATGGGTTCGCCCCAGAGGAAATGACCGTGAATGAGAACCTTGGGTACCCAAAAGCCTACTCAAAACTCTGCTGCGACAGGGGTTTCAGTCCCTACAGCCATGGCCCTCCCTTCACTTTCATCCCTTATGGTTTGCAGGAAGACGAGGTAAGCAAATTGGATCTGTCTCTTTCACTCAATGTTCGGTTTAAAAGTAAAGAATTGAACTTTAATGGAAAACGAGTTCTGGGTCTTGTTTATAAATTGACTTGTTTCACTGAGTAGCTTCAATTATGTGTTTTGCAATCTTATAATACTTAGGTTGAGAGAGGAAGGGGTTTAGATCAGATGTTTCCTGTGATCGATCCGAAAGCTAAGCCAACGACCAAGCCTAAAATCTTTGTCAGTATCTTGTGGAAGCAGCTCAGCCATCTTGGGTAGGAACTTCAGCTGAGCATTAACAAGTTTTGGAAATTTCAATTTTGATGTATTTATTACTTATCAATTTGCCATAAATCTCAGGAATGCTGGATTTGACCCTGCGGTTATTCGAGTAGATGCTTATGGCAATGTTCTGTATTATCATGCTGACTCAGCCTCTCCTCTAGCTTGGGACATTGATCACTGGTTTCCTTGTTCAAGTAATATATTGCTTTCTTTCTTTCTTGATTTCCATCGATCTAATGATTATAATTTATTCAGAATTAATAATTGATTAATAAGTGTGATCCAATAAATTATAACAGTTAAATTTATTAAGTTAAGATTTGTCGTCAAATTTTGATATCAAAGTATCATGATATATATATATATATATAGAGTTTTATAAGAGTTTGTTGTATGGAAATTGATTGTGTAATGTTATAGAGATTCGTTTTGCATGCCGTAATTTTTTTTTTTTTTTTTTTCAAAAGGTGTGGACCCCACAAAATCTTGTAAGAAAATTTGTTGTATCATATTAAATGACAAATGCAAACCGGTATATACGTGTGTCTTGTTTTTTTGGTAAACTATATATGTCTTCTTAAGATGTGTAGAATTGGTGTGATTTTGCTCCTTTGGGAATTTGGATGACAATGCAGGGGGAGGTTTGACTGTTCTGAACAATCTAAGGATATTACAGCGGCAAGCATGTAAGAGGAAGAAAAATAAGCTGGAATTCTTAGTGCCATGGTGGGATTTCCAATTGGGTATCTCTGTAAACCAGTTCCTGACCATTTTTGCTTCTTCAAACTCAGACTTCAGGCAGGTCTTTTTTATTTTTTTATTTTTTTATTGTTCATCAAGTGGGGAGGCTGATAATGTTTGTACTTGCAAACAAACAACAGGCACAGAGCCTTTTCATTTTTGTTTTCTGATGGAGAAAATCAAGAACTGAATGCTTCACAAATAGTAGATTCTCATTCTTTTCCGCAACACTTCATTGGGTTGAAAGAAGAAGTTGGTCTTGCTCCAGCTGCAATCGTAGAATCCCGAAGGGAACCATATGATACACTAGCTTTAAGACAACTTGATTACAATAAGAACCCGAGGCCTATGTCTCCTGCAATAGGTTAGTGGCAGTGCATCATTATCATGATACCAAGTTTGAATTAACTATCTTGATTTGAACATAGAGGTTGATTTATGTCTGACCAATCTCTTATTGAAAATAATTTCAGTAGCTGCAAGAAAAAGAAATGGCAATCTCCTGAAAGAAAACGAAGATCCAGAGTTTGTTAGAAACCCCTATCAAGCCATTGTCATGGCCAGAGATTCCTTGAAGCAAAGAGAAGAAACTACAAAAATGCAGGCAGAAATACAGAAGTTAGATAATGAAGTGAATGAAACGAGGCTAAAAAACGAGGAAGAAAAGCTTATTATTCAAGACCTGGAATTGGCGCTCATAAAACGTAAGAGGAAGGCAGAAAAGTGCAGACGGTTAGCTGAGGCTCAATCTTCCTACAGGACCATGCTAGAGAAGATGATTAGAGACACTATGCACCAGTAGGTTTTTGAAATTGAAATGGTTTAACTTTTCTTTATATTTTCTTTGGACTTCAACATTGGTTTTTGAAAATGGCTTTTCGTGTAGGAGTGTCATTTATAAGGAGCAGGTAAGATTGAACCAGGCTGCAACTAGTGCACTAATGGCTAGACTTGAAGCACAGAGGGAAATTTGTGATGCTGCAGAAAAAGAGCTTCACAAGAAGTATAGACAAAGAGATGACATAGAGAAACAGATTAGACCTGAATGGGACCAAGGAAGGAAGAGGTCAAGAATAGATGCTTCCATTCTTGAAGAGAGAGACAATAAACCTGTTCTTTATTTGCCTGGAATGAGGCCAAGAACACCTTTTCACAAGGAGCTCAGAGTGTTTTTGGAGGAGGAACAAAGGGCATCCGTAGCTGGCTTGTCTGCAAACGAAGAACAAAAGCAAGAGGAAAAAGAAGAGAAGATGAAAATGCCAGCTAATAGTATCACACAAGAGAAGCTTGAGGAGCATACCAAATCACTTGTTGCGGCCTTGGATGAAGAAAACTCAATTGAGCACAAACTTCAGAAGCTAGAAATCAGTGAAGGCAAGAGGAATTATGCTGTTTCATTGCCAGTTCTTCATGAGACAAAAACTGAGGAAGATGAAGAAACCAGGAAGCAACGTGGCAAAGGGAATGTTGAAAAGTGGCTTCAAATGCTTTTGGAAAATAATCCAGAAGAAGGAACGGATCCACAAGAAACAAACGAAAATGCTTCTTGTGGGACTCAAAATATAATCCAACAATTGAATCAGAAGTTCCCACAAAAGGAGTTGAAGATCTCAGAAGTTTCAGATTCTGATTATAAAGAGAAGCAGCTGCAGCTTCTTCAAGACAAGAACGGTTGGACAGAGAAAGAAGATAGAATAGAAAATGATGCTAGGAGTGTTGTGCCGACAGGATATAAAAATTACTCTGAAGAAGCTTTCATAGATGAAGGAAATGGTACGCCTAGTTTTGAAGGGATACAAGGAAGGGAACAACATAAAAAGGAAAAAGGGCTTGCTAGATCAGAGAGTGCCAGGACCTTGAGGCGAATCCCATCATCTCCATCTTTGCTTCAAGGGATGAAAAAAGGTGTGGACAGCATTAGGAAGAAAATAAGCAAGTGATGATGGTGGTTATAAGGATCTTGCAGCACCAAACAGCTTCTTGAAGGCTCTACTTTGGTCCATGCATAACTTTATGTTTCTCGCAGCCTTTTACAATTTGAGTGACGTTAGCTGAATAGAATAAGTGAGTGAAATTTATTATAATAAAAAAAAGAGATAAACTCAGTGTGTAAAATGTGTGCATTCATTCTATTGTTTGATTTGTGTATAAGATTTTTTAGTTGTCAGATATTTGGTAAGTGATAACAGCTTGTTGTTTTTGCTGAAAGCATTAGATTTCTCTTACGTCTACTTTCCTGCTTTGCGCATATTGAGAGATAGGAGACAAAATTTACATGCATAAAGTTTTGTGCTAGAAATTTGAAAATTCTTGCATCTGCTATAGTAATTTATTTATTCTTCACTATGAAGTCTGAGTTACATTATTTGGTATCCTCACATCTTTATTGAATTTATTCGAAATGCAACAAAGTTTATCTTACATTATATCTCAAGTCTAACTCCAATAAACGAACTTCTATAACAAACACAAAATATATCAATTATATTTGTAATTCACAGCCTCTCTTTCGGGACATTGATTTCCTCCACTTGTGGGGAGTCCTATCTTTGACCAAACTGGTTTTCATGTCCATAGGCGTTTGCCTTCCAAACCCAACTTCCTTTTCAGCCTCTTCTACCATTCTCTCCACTCCTCCCAAGCTTTTACTAAACGCAGGCATCCCAAACCTTTTCCATTTGAAGAACCCTTTCTTCTTTTCCACCATCCTCTCCATCTGCACTTGCATGGCATTGCACTGGCTTTGCAGCCTGTAAACATCTTCCTTCAGCTTCCTTATCTCCATTTGCTGAGCATTCATTTCACGCTTTGAAAGGCATCGTGTTGTTTGTGGATCGAACCAGCCATTGGGGCTTCTCAAACCACTAAAAGAGCCACTCCAATCTATGTGGCGATTGAGTTTGGTTTGTTCAGAGAAGAGCACCTGAATTACAGCTCTAACAGGCAACCGTTCATTTTGAGCTGCATGAAGTGAGGCCTCTGGTGTGAGTTTCCGGCTATCAATCAGCCTACACAGACCCTTCCTTTCTTGCTTCGACACACATGAATGTGCCTATAACACATAACCAGAGTGCATGAACCATGTTTCTTAACTCACTATCAAGTACTCAAAACACAAAGTGCTCTAAATTTTCTTCAAATCCTTTAACTTTGTTTCCATTTTTCTTTCCTTGCTTTTCATGTTTTTTATCATTCATTACCCTTGCACCGAATAAAACAGGAATGTTTTGGTACAATCATGATCAGCATTTACAAGTCAACGAAACTCAATTTTGCCCATGTTCTTGTTTAGAGCAATAACTAGTATCATCATTTAATACTGTCTTAAATGGCAAAATGGTTTGTTTATGCATTTGAAAATAGTAAAATGAAAATCTAGTCATAAACTGGATAGAATTGTACTATTCAAATAACAAATGGGAAGGCTAACTACTATGATGGCCTACTTGCACATGGCGGGTTAACTGAATTTAGACCCTTTTTAGTCTCTGTCAATATCTACGAAGTCCTTTTTAGTCCCTGACAATAAAAAATGATCAAATTGATCCCTGAAATTACAAAAAAAGGGCCATGTTAGTCCTTATGTCAACTCCCAAATATGTAGAGTGACCCTTTTCTTGTACTTTCAGGGACTAATTTGGTCATTTTTTATCGTCAGGGACTGAAAATGACTTCATAGATATTGCCAGAGACTAAAAAGGATATTTACTCTTAAATTTAAAAGGAAGACTTTTAGAGCGACAACAAGTAATACATAAAAATATAGGAAGTAAATGCCAAGCTTTAACATCAATATTTGAAAGAGTTTCTTATACTCAACTCATAATTAAGGGTTTTATACTTCTTATGTAAGATAAGAAGATAAAAAAAATTTCTTACACACTCTTTGATTTTTGTAGTGACATGAGTCACGTACATAATTGTTTTTAACATATAAGTCCTACATATTTTTGTCTCTATAACAACAAAAGAAAATTTATCTAATATAACTTGAGAAATATAAAGGCTTATAATTAATTATATTCCATTTCAGTAAAATAAAACAGTTACATCACCTTGTACGATGTGAACAAGAGAAAAGCCAAATGCAGAGAAATGTTGAGTACAGCTATGATACCATAGCCCCACATAAAAGATATTTATGTCATTTCACTTCTACCTCAGCTCCCTGTTCAACTTCCTACTCCGAAGAATCTCATGCTCGTTACAACACAAGAAAACATTTTCTAGGATATCCAGAATGAACCTCTTAAAATTCATCTCCTCTTGTTTGCTTCACTCATTATTTATCTTTAATAAATAAAATTAGAGCATAAAGAGCCCAGAGGAAGAAAGGGAATGAACTCTAGTAAATAAAGCAATTTAATTTTATTTACTTTTAACTAAAATGAAAAGACATACTTTTAGATAAGTATCAATGGCTCTGTACAAGCCATCATCTGTAGCTCTTGCATGACTTGGAAGAGCTCCAGCAAGTGCAACGAACTCAGACAAACTCAAATTAGCATCCACAGCAGCCTCAGCGAGGTAGCAATCAATCAACTTGGCCACCTTAACCAAAGCAGAACCACTTTTAACTCCTTCATGATCCAAACTCACAAACCTCGTAACCAACCTAATCACAAGCTCAACATCCAAGAGAGTCCCGCAAGTGTGACTGAAAGAAGGTATCATAAGCTCTTTGAGTGAAGCTTGGTCTAGCTGCCACGAAATTCGTTTCTCAAGCTCAGCTCTATAAGTGGCTTCAACCCCAACCATGTTGGCTGTTCTAAGAAGGCGTAAGAGGAAGTTGCATGGGATTGAATCCTTCTCAGGAGGAAGAACACCCACCAAGGTTTCCACAAAGAACCTCTTCTTCATCCATGAAGTTGTTACACTTTCAGGTGATTCTTGGAATTGGTTGAAACCCTTTTCAGCAACAACAACATCATCATCATCATCATCATCATCACCTGCAGAGAGGTCTGGGAGCCATTTTGAAGCATAGTGAGTGATGATGGAACCAATCAAATCAGCACGCACGCCTTTCTGTTTGATGGCTGAAAGTGTCTTCACGAAGTAATCCATGTCAAGGATGCATGCATCGTCGAACCAGCATTCCGATGATGCTTGTGTTGGACATTTTTCTACGGATTCTTCGCAAGATTGCTTCTTGTTCATTTTGCATAGAAGCTCTAGTACAGTGCAGGGTACACTTCTATGCTATATTACTACTACTACTAGCTATTTTGGTTGGAGAGTCATAGTCCACAAGCTATAAAAAAATATTATCAACCTAGTTTTTTGGAAACTATTATTACTACTAATTTGGTTATATTATATAATATTTTTTTGAGGTAGGATCACTTAACATCATCACTGTCAAATTAGAGTTATTAGATAAAAAAAAATAGATAAATGATATCATATGCTTACAACAAATCAGAGTCGTTGATTTTTTTTAATCTAACTGCTCTGAGATAAGGTGTGAAATTTCAAAAAAAAATTATATACTAATCTTTCATATTCATATTAATGAAATTTTTTTATAAAGCGAGGATATTCTAACTACCAAAAACTCTTACTACTAACTTAGTACCCATTACATCATCATTGGATCAAAGAGAGAGAATGTTAAAAAAAATTTGAAGAAAGAGAAAATGTTAATCTAATGGTGATCTATGTAGCACCGATACTGATACGGGACACGTGACACGATACGACACGACACTCCGACACGTTAATTCTAAAAAATGTTAGATTTCGACACGTTAGGACACGTTTTGATATGAAATAATATTTTTAATTTATGTAGTGTATATTATATTTAATATTCAATAATTTAACAAAAAAATGAAATTAAACTTATAATATTCATCAATTTTGCAAAGAAACATAAGATATCCCAAATATTTATATTAAACTTAATAAAATGGTAATCGAAATTCAACGAATTTAATAGTTGAAACTAAAAACTCAACGCAACGCAACCTTTGAACCTTTTTTTGAATTTCTATAACACGTGTTAGAGTGTCGGGGAGTGTCGAAGAGTGTCGGAAAGTGTCGGACACGACACGTCAAGGATTTTGAAGTGTCGGTGCTTCATAGATGGTGATTAGATAGGTAGTAAGTTAATAGTAGAAAATTTTAGTACTTAGAATATCCTCCTCTTTTTTATATACTAATCTTTTATATTCATATTAAATTTTTCTTGGGTGTTTAACTTTTTTTTAATTTGATCATTCAACATGCAGAGTGGACTTTGTAATTGAGTCAAGCTCCTGTAGGAATTATAAAACTATTGCTGAAAATAATGCGAAAAGTAAGCGCTGCGCTAAAAAGTAACTTTTTAAAGGTGGGTCTCTTTGATGAAAACTTTGGCCGTGGAAGATGTTCATGTTCAGTACTTTCCATGACAAAGCTAATAAATAATATTTGTTCATATGTGGAAAAATGCAATGAGATTTTATTCTGACTGTTCTCTACTTTAATCTCCATTCACTTATTCACTAAAATTAAGTTCAACTGATACTTGAGATATTTTGTGGTATATGTAAATCTTTGTTTGTCAATATTTAAAATAAAAATAAAAATAAGAATCATTGCATTAATTATAAAATTAATTCTTTTAGCCTTCTCGGTGAACGGAGTGAAAGAGGTGTTGGGAGAATAGGACCACTGACACAACCACATTATTCTATCCCTGGCTATGACAGAAGACCCAATTGCGCATATCCTTCTACGTAGCACGAAGAACAAAAGCAATTATGACACGATCAAAATTTGAAAGCAATTGTTTTGTTCTCTCTATATCTTTTATGTATTGCGTAAGGGATTTGGACTTGTTCTATTTACATGGGTAGAATACCATATAGAGGAACAAACAAACAAACAAACAAACATTGGAGCTTGTTTGTTTTCTTTACATTACATTATATTATATCTAGGTTGATCATGGCCTTGGGGCCGTTGATTTGAAGAATCAAGAACTGCACGAAGCACACAATGAATGGTGAAAACTGTACGGAGAGGAAGCAAACGAAAACCTGTGTGCTTTGCATCCCAACAACTCCATCCCACGCTCGTGAACCTCAATATTTGTTGCTTTCGTGGCAAACAAATGCACCACTGATTCGATGGGCCCACTTCATTTTTATTATTTTATTATATTAAACCCAGCCCATAATTATTTTGCTACAACAGCTACACTGTAATGATTTACAATACCAAAAATTATGAAATGAGTGGATGATCCAAATTACTTGGCCCAAACCAGTTCATTTTTCTCTGTTAGAAATCTATTCCTGGCAATAGTCCTGTCCAGTTTGGACAACTATGGTCTCAATTAGGAACGAAGTCATACTGGTCTCGGATCAAAAAAAAATTGGTAAGACGTGAGAGAATGAGAGAAAAAGTTGAGGAGAGAGGAGAAAGAAGAAAAAAATAAAATTAATACAAGTGTCAATTTTTAAGTAAAAGAACTACAGTGGTCCAGGAGCACATTAAAAAATTCCCTCAATTAGACGTGTATTGGGCCAGGCTGGCCCAGCCCAGCCTACGGCCCGGCCTACATTGAGCCCAGCCCAGGCCCGGCCTTTCAGAAAAATAGAGTAGGCTTAGGCTTATAAAAAAGATTTTTTAATAAATAGGCCATAGGCCAATTTTGTCAAGCCCGGCCTACAGCCTTGTAGGCTGGCCTATTTAATTTATTAAAATAAAATAATAAAATAATATTTATTTTATGTGGCAAAGACACAAAGTACCAAATACTAATATCTCTTACTTTTTGTGCTATTTTATTCTATGAAAGGAAAACTTGTCTAATGTCTCCAAATTTTACATGCTGTTGCAGCTTAATACCATAGAGCAATGGGTACCTTACTGGATTATGATGTTGCTGATGAAAATCTTTCAATAATACTCTTCTTTCCCTTATCTTGATGGTGATTTAAAGATTTTTAAATGAATGACATTCTCTTGTAGACTTTATTTCAGCATCCAGTAATTGTATTTTTCATATTTTTCCCATTTCTTTGACTCTATTCCTCTATGATATACATTCTAGAGCTGAGGTAGTATGTTGACTCTTTCTTGTTTGTCATTTTTTTCTTATGAGAAGTATTAGTGCATGCATGAATGGAGCTTTCTTTGCTCTATACAATTATTTTTTTTGCTTAGTATATATAGTGGGAGGCCTACAAGGCCTGTAGGCCATGTCGGGCTTTCTTATTTTTGAAAATGGGCCGAGTTTGGCCTACAAATAAAGCCTTTAATAGGCTAGTAGGCCAGATAGGCTGAATTTTTTTTGACGTAGGCTTGGGCCAGGATGGCCAAAGCCCAGCCCATTTACACCCCTACGTGTATGGGCCGAGCGATTTATTAGGGGTTCAAAGCTTAACTTGCTTTAAGCTTGATATGACCTGGTCTGGCTTATTTAATAAATAAAACAGACTTAAACATAAAAAAAAAAAGCTTATTAAGCAAACAAGCTCAAGCCTAATCTAATGAGACTTGGCTTGAAAGTTCATGAACCCGCCTAATATGTTATTATAATAAATAATATATTTTGTTTTGGCTAAATAGTATTAAAAATGTAATTATATGTAGACTGAGTGAATTTTATGATTATTTTTATTTGACAAAGGAATACAAAATTTAATGCATTTATAGTCTTGATATTTGGACGTATGTGAATTTAAAAAAAAATGCATTTTATAATTATAAATGAGTCAAACAAGCTCAAGCCAAGCCTTTACTTTTTCATAAACAAATCAAGTCAAATCTAGATTTTAGCTCGTACCTGGTTAATGGGCTAAGCCAAATTCAAAATATTTTTTATAAGTTTGACTTGTTTAAACTAAAACTTAACTTGACCCAACTCATTTACACCCTATTGAAAAAAGGATAAAAATTTTTGGGCTTTGGGTCTCAATATAACATCAACAGTAGTTTAAAGATTTGCTTTGCGTCTCAATAAACGAAAAAAAAAATAAAAAAAATATGTCCAATGTGAAGCCCATGTTAAGATTAGTACTTAACAAAATGCTACGATCAATTCAAATAATGATTTCAGTCAGTGGGTAGCATAACTCCCTGTAACCATACAAGATGAACAAGAAACAAGAACTACAATTCTTCCTTTTAAAATGTGCTTCTACAAAGTAGGAAACCTTCATAACAGAGAATAAGCTCATTCTATCTATAGGGACAAAAAATAATGATAATCATAATAATGGGACTAGAATAAAGTGAGAAGCAAACTTATTCTATAGGGCAGATAATAACCTACAGCAAATAGTTTCACCTAGCACTTCTCTCATGAGTTGTACTTAATCTTTCTGGCTGGCAAATTCTACAGAAAGAAGCATGATCAAACATTACGAGAAGTGGGGGCTTCAGATGAACTGCTTGAGGAGTCACCTGCTGCTGGATTTAATGGTGAAACACTTGCTAGAGAACCATTGCCATCTTCTTCATTCCCAGACACCACTGGTATCTTAACAGCAGCTGCTCTTTCCATCTCTTTCTCAAGTTCTTCTTCTTTACGTAATGCAGTGAACTGGGTATCAAGGGATTTGGCTGCTGCTAACCAGGCAAGAACAATCACCAGAAGCACCCCTCCCAGGTATGGAGTTGAATTAGCTAGTGAACCAAAAGTTAAGATCATAAACTGCTGAATTAGAGCACCTCCAGACTTCCCCAATGGGTTGCATACAACATCAATAGCTGCCTTCCCCTTGACCTACAGCAAGGAATTTATACAGTTAAAAGTGGATACCCCCACATGATTTTCGTATTTAAAAACAGTCATAAACAAAGATTTTATTAAGAACCTTGGGATACACCAAGGTTCTTAACATGATATCAGAGCGTTCGAAATTTCACCGCCTCCCACTTTCTTTGTAGTGGAATTTCCACATGTAGGTGGACTTGTATGTTGTCCACCCTTCAAGCCCAGTGGGCTCTCGTGTGAGGGGGCGTGTTGAGAAATATAGTCCCACATTGGTTGTATGGGAAACTAATGTGAGGTTTATAAGGCCTTGGGCACTCCCACCCTTAGAGCTAGCTTTTGGGGTGGTGACCTCAAGGTTTTTAACAGATTTTTAACACAACTTTGCACAGTTTCAGGTCTTTAAACTTTATAAAATCAAAATCATCAGAACTTTCATGTAAATTTAGTGTAAATATAACACAGTAGCGGATAATACTCCGAACCTTGGTATCCTCGTCCAAGGGTATGTAGGCCATTTCTTTGCAGGGATCAAATAAACTGTACTTGGCACTCTTGCTGAATATGTTCTGCATGGCACCAACATATACAGCAGCTAGCAGTGGAGTCATTCCAAGCTTCGCAATAACAGGTGCAACTGGGCCTCCGAATAATATGAGAGAAAAGAAACCAACTCCTGTCAAAAGCAGGACGGTGGGGGTGATCTTGGCAGCAACTCCCCATCCATATTTGTCAAATATATATTGGCTTAGAAGCATCATCGTGAATGTAGCGATTCCAGTCGCAGTTGAGAAGTCGCCCATGAAAGATGAGTACTCATTTGGGCTAGGAAACTGCACAATTTTTAGAGGTGAGTGTGAGAGAGAGAGAAAAAAAAAGCACTACAAAATGGCAGGTAAGTAAAATCAGAAGAAAGAAAGTTTTACATTACCTGAGCTTTGAGCTTTGACTTCCATGTAACCTCAACAAGATTAATGCTAATTCCATATGCAACCACTAAAGTGGCAAGATCTCTTATATATTTTGAAGACACCAAGAATTTCAAGCTCTCCATTGTTCCCATTTTGGGCTTCTCCTGGAAAAATGAATAACAAGGTAAATGTCAGTTAAGCTATTGCAAATATTATTAAAAAATAGAGTTTCAGAATTTGCTATTTTCTGACATATTAGAAATAAGATGGGGATAAGACCACATAGCTAGGACAATGTCTTACTTACACACATAGAAGTGAGCCAACCATACTACAGAAATGGAACCTCATATAAATATTAGATTAAAAGCCAGTTTTTGAAATAAAAAACTTCTCTACTCTCTCTCTCTCTCTCTGTATATATATATATATATATATACACACCCCATTTAACACCAATGACCAAACACACATTAGAAAAACTGAGGACTGCTATATTACTTAACTTTCAGTTGTCTTGGCAACTCAATTTGTAGAATCAAGAATGAAACAAAAATATAAGCAGGGGAAACAATGGAATAATCATGCTTCAGCTTGCCTTAGGTACAAAAATTATATGCACAATAGTATAGCTTCCTTTCAAAAGAATACCTTCTTCTTCTTGCTACGTGTAGGAAGAGGAACATAATTATTCACCCACCAATACAGGAAACAGATTGCAAATCCCATAACCACAACTATGCTCATCATTGCTTTTAGAGAGATAGCCCAACCATCAACTCCGGGACCTAAACTTTTCCTCATATTAGAAAAGTATTTCACTGTCCGACCAGAGAACACAAGGGCTACATTGGCCCCAAGTCCAAACAGTGGATAGAAACGTTTAGCTTCATCGATGGTAGTTATCTGCAGAAAAATAGAAGATATTAGCACTCTCGTTCACAAAGAAGAAGAACCTCATAACATCATGTTCATCTTTCTGCTCTATATATATTATAATTTGCATAAATCAGTTCAAAATTGGAAAATATATATTTTATTTGAATAAAAAAAAGATGCGACATCTTACCCTGCCATCACAGGATAGCATCGTAACCAGATAAGGTTTTATGCATATTATTGCAAGTGAAACAAGCATCTAACTATTATGAATTAAATGAAGAAATAATAACATATAAGCGGCTCATGAAATGCTGAATGGCTAAGCTAGAGAGAGAGACAGAATAATTACAATTAACATGGTAACCAAAGGGAAATGAATCAAAACCAGTGTACAGATGCCAAAAAGGAATACATGAAATGTAAAACAATCCAAGCCAATGAAGATGATGATATTATGATGTCATGTCTACGATACCAGAGTTGAAAATGATAATAAGATAACGATACCAACATATACTATAACAGAATCAAAAGCCAAAAACCAACCAACAAAGTCGGTTCAAAGTTCAAACAATGACAATAACCTGATTGGCAAAACCCCAAAAGAGCACGGAAATCACGACACTCCCCCACAATTCAGCCATGACATAGAACAAACAGAAACTCCAGATTCTCATAATAGCAAGTGGACCAAGGAACCGAGGGCCAAGGGTGTTAAGAAGGTTATCCGCAAATGCCTGAGGGTGGATATAGTTGCTGAGAGGGTACAAAACAAACCCGAACGCCCCAAAGAAGGCAATGAAGGGAAGGATAATAGAGTAAAAGAGAGCTTGCTTGGACAATACATTGGCCAACTTGGTGTACAACAACATGAACCCAACAGCCATAGGAAGGTTCACCCAAGTTTTCAAAAAAGGTATAATCTCAGCACTGCTTCCTCTGGCCGTCACAACCAGCACATCCTTTGTGTCTCTTAGAATCGTGTAGTTGAAGAGGATACAAAAGAACATCATCCCCAATGGTACAATCTTTTTCAAGGTAGTAACCCCAATACCCAAAAACTTTGGTTCTTCGATTTCTGGTTCCCCAAATACTGGTTGCCCATCAGCAGCAGCAGCAGCTTCAGCCTTGCAGATGAACAAATTTCGATCCTTTTGACCAAAGACGTTGGTTTTTGAGGCAAAGCCATTGAATTTTTGGAATCCATTTGTAGTCAGAGAAGACCCACCAAGGATTTTGGGCTTTGGAGAGAAAAATCTGTACTTTAAGCCCTGAGATGGATGTAAAACCCTGTTCCTGGGGTTTGTAGGGAGAGAGAGAAGCCCTCTGGTCTGAAGAACAGCCTCCATGTCTCTCTTTGGTCCCTTTGAGACTTCAACAGGAGGAGAACACAAAAAGAGACACAGTGAGGGATAAAGAGAGATAAGGTAGTTCGATATTGCAGAAGAAAGGGGCAGATACGAATAAATATCTTTTCTTTTATATGCCAAAGAATCTTCTCAAGTACCAAACCCTCGTAGGGTTGAGGAAGACAACAAAAATAATAATATATTAAATTAAATTAAATAAAAACCTTTTATGTGAAAAAAATGGGAATTTGTCTATGTCATATACAATTTGTTCACCCCAAGAGACAGATTGTGGCTTAGATGAATTCCCATAACCAGAAATGAGAAGGAAACTGAAAACGATAGATATGGAAAAGTGCACGAGAAAGTTCAAGCATGGGGAAGAAAATCTGTAGGATCTTTAAGACTGATTCATTAATTACTTATTACTGGTGATGCGATTCTTTAATAAGGTACTGAGTTTAAAAAAGGGCAAGCTGATTTCCTAAAATATCCCCCTCTCTCTGTCCAATGACCAAATATGTACTTGAGATTTTTATTCTTATTTTTTCATAAATCTCTGTAGTGTTTTCTATTCCCATGCTCTAAGCCTGTTTAAATGTGTGAGATTGATGTAGTCTATAATCTGTTATGAATATAATTATTGGCATGTGATTTAACTTATTTATAAAAAAATAAAAGTCTGATTTAGTTTGTAAAAAAAAATAAGACAATAACAATTTATCAAACAAAATATTATGATCAACAACACTAATAATTTCACAAAAATTCATAAATTCAATATATATCTAAATTAAAAAATCCACTTGACCAATAAACTAAAGTAGTACAAAATTCAGCATATCCAAAAGAACAAAATTTACAAATTCTGCATAAACGATTTATCATACTTATATCAACACTTCAATATATTGCGATGTTGTCTCCTCCTACATAAAAAAAAAAGTCAATTTATTTTTGACATTCAATTATAATATGATAAAATATAAAACAATTTAAATTAAGTAAATTAATTCCTTCTGTTTTTGTGACATACTTATTACGTAACTAATATGCACTGCAAATTAATGCTTGAACTGCATTTTCAGCCAAACTTGATCGATAAGCATCAATGACTCTTTCTTAAGCACTAAATGTTGATTCAGATGCGACTGTAGAGACTAGTACTGTTGGTATATCTTTTGCCATCTTTGATAAAATTTTATACTCCATGCTATTGCTCTTCCACCATTCCAAGACATCAAATGAAAGATAAGAATTAACATCACTTAAATAAACATTTTCTTCAAGATAACACTTCAGCTTTGACTTAACTGAATGAGTAAGTCCCCTTGCACGTAAAATTCTATAGCACTTAACAATTTTCCAGAAGAAAATAAAGATGCATGTACGGTTGTTCAAATCCATCTTTGTGCTCTTTTTATTATTCTTTTTATTTACTCAACTTATCGTGCAATAGATCCAGCCATTCTTACTCAAGGAATTTTTGGACTTCTATGAAAAGTTTTTTTGAATCATCGTGGTTCTGGTATGAATCTGAGGTGGATGCCCTCAGCGCCGAGGAGCGTGTACTAGGGTGTATGTGCGACTCATTCCGCTCGTAAAATTTGTGAAAAATGTCAATTGATCCGCAGTTTGGGACACGTTATAGTAATTTGATCAGTTAGGGTTCACCAATCACGAACCTTCTCCTTCAGTGAGCCTTTCTCCTCTGCTGTGGTTGTGCTGGTCTGGTGAGGACTCTGGCAGTGTAGATAGAAAGACGATGAGAGGAGATGAAGTGAAGTGAGGGAGAGAAAGTAAAATGATGATGGACCACGAAAAGTAAGTGAAAATTAGGTTGGGTTTAGTAAATGAGTAGTATAAAAAATATGAAATAAAAATAAGAGTTAATATACCATTCCAACCTGATAAGCTTTAAGACCAGACTTTTGAATTGGAGTCTAAGGCCTTTTTCTTAATTGATCTTTTACACAAATCCAAGTCCATATCTAACAACCAAAATAAAACGGACCAATCCAGGCCTACACAGGCCAAACCAAAGGCCCGTGAAAGTCCCTTGCTCTTTTAACACCCCTAATTATAAGGGGATTTCAATTAAGAATGGGCATGAGAAGATAGCAAATATCACATCTCTCTCATCCCAACTTATCAATTTTATTGGACATGTGAGGGTTTGCTCACGGGGAGTAACTTTCGTGGTGATAGATTCATCATGTTTGTCCTTATTTTATTTTATTTATTTATCTTTATTTCATTAGTCACATTCGTTTGACTTCTTTCATTTATCATGATATGACCCAAGGTTAGATTTTCTTGCACTCATAGCCCTCAAGATGGCTAATGTCTTTCATAGAGTTGGCATTTGCTTCAAGCAATGCTTTTGAAACAGCAGGTCTAAGATAGTGATATTTTGGCAATAATTATTGATTTATTTTTTAACCAACACGTTTAAAATTATAATTATCTTCACCTTGACTTTTCAATATTTTCCATAACATATTGAAAAATCCTTAAATTCTTAAATTAATAATAAGATTTAGTAAACGTTCAACAATACTTCAAGAGCATAAGGTAGTCAAATACCCAAAAAGGATTTTTTAAACACTCATTGTTAGTGCACGAGCATTAGGATATATGTTGTCCAATATCCATTCCACTTTAGAAAAAAAAAACAAATATAAAAAAAGGAAATTGGTAGAAGAAGAATTAGAAATAGATTAAAGAACACTCAAATGAATACATACCAAATACCTTTCAAACAAAAAGTTACTTCAGTAGAGACATTTTAACCTTATTCGATAGAGACTATCATACTGATAACGTATTAAGAAATGAAGAAAGAGATGACAGAAAGTCGTGTTAAAAAAAAATGAAAGAAAGAAGAGAAAGAAAAAGAATAATAAGATAGAATTCTAATTCTCATTGATCATGAAAGATCAAGTTAATGCTCCATTAGTGTAAAGGTTACGAAATTATAGAAGGAGGATAAGTGCCAAGTGTTACGAAATTCAAGATTTAAGTCATTCATAAATTAATATTTTACTACAAATATCAAATTTTAGACATTGTGTGATCAAAATTAAAAACTAAACTTATTTATGGCCTCACAATATAGTCAATAATGTACGTGCATATCATATAATTTGAAATTCTCCTCTTCTATTTTTTTTAGTTGACTAATAGGTAAGTAGGAAGTTACTAAATAATTTTGTCAATAGAATTTATCATTAACCATTCAAATACTGTTCTTAATAAATTTTTGAATGGTTTTTCTAATGACCTAAAGAGATAGAGAAATATTGTAGAGGAAATTTTTTAAATTTTAATTACATTAAATGCACACACCTTTATCTTTTAAAGAATATTGCAATATTTTTAAGAAATAAAAAAAAGTTGTGAAGATCTCTAACATCAAAAGTAGTAATTCATTTAACTGAGTATATATATTGGGAAGGTTTAACTTATACCGTAACAAGTATAATGTTTACATTCATTATTAACCATTCATTTGCACATACACATATATAATAATGTTTTAAGATAGTTTTTGGTTTTTTATTTTTATTTCTAGTTAATATATTTTAATTAAAGATTATGAAAATTTAATTTCTTTTACTTATTTTTAATATTAAAATAAAAGAAAATAAGTAAACTCGCGAATAAAGTTTTAACAATGTCTGTCTCTTTATGAAAAACAGCAACGAGTTTATGTTTAAATGAGTTTAACCAGATATTCACTGTCACTATTCTTTGGGAGCTTGCTTTGGGTCGTTAGGTCAGTATAATGGTTAGTTTCAAACTTTCAATGTTGTTTTCGTTGCTCTCATTTCTTGAAGCATATCAGCCTTTGATCTTCATATGATTCACTTTATGACCTGCAATAGCTTGGGAAAGAGTGGAAGATTTTGCTACAAGTTGTACGGCAAAAGCACTGTACTGCTAATATTTAGCAAAAATTGCTCATGTTCAAAGGACATTTGAAAAGTTTTGTCATACTAGAGCAGTTAAACGCGTCACCTGACTTGAAGCATTCAGTCTCGTCAACAATACTGACGCGACTTAGTTCCACGTCAGCAAACTGAACCAGTTTCATGCCACGTGGCATATTCTTCTTGAGTCTCATCACATTAGTTGACGGCATTAATCGCATCAAACAAATTGATGCAATGTGGCAAATCGTGTCACATAAAGTGACGGTACTCATAGGCTATTCTCATCATCTACATTGACAAGACCCAATCCACCGATGCAAAATAACAAAAGAACTATACTGTGTGTAGAACAAAAGCGAAAGTAAAGTACACAAAGAATCCGAAATAGGTTCGCCCATGAATAAAAAGGAAAGCAAAGTACCATGGAATCCAAAATAGTTTCGCCCGTGAATAAAAAGGAGAGCAAGTATACTAACAAGTGTGGTAATGAAATAGTAAATACACATGTGATTTTTTTTAAGACATACGAAGCCCACATTTTGTATATATATATCCCCTTAGTCGTTCATTGCATTGTTCAAAACAACTTGTGTTCATGTGTTTTTTTTTACTCTATGTTTGTAGTCATTATTTTGTTATTCTGAGTTCACATCTTAATTTGTATTTTATTTGCATAAAAATAATATTGCAATGGATCAATTTCGTATATTTGTATACTACAATGGTAGTAAAAGTATAGGTACATGCGGTTTAAGCTTCGAAGGGAAAAAAAGATAAATGTATATTGACTAAGGCATGTCTGTTGTGGATTTGTATGGGAAGATCCGTCAGAAGTTGATGCTGCAACAAAATCAGGTAATATCTTCAATTATGGGTAGAGTCTCGTGTGGAAACCGCAAATATGCAGGTATTGAAATATCTGATGATGGGGATGTAGATGTTTTCCTTACAACTTTCGTCGAAAACAATACATCTCGATTTGTTGAGTTATACATCGATATTGAGACATCAGAGGATCTATCAATACCGATTCGTGGGCTAGATCTTAATAGTCAGTCACATTATCTATTGCCGTATGTTCTGCAGCCCACACGATCAACCATTGCATATGGAGAATAAATCAACTATATGGTAGATGTTGAATCTGACATGGAAGAAGTAGACGAAGATGAAGATACTTTGTTGGCAAATGA